AATTAAAGCTTAAGGTGTGTGTGTGTGTGTGTGTGTGTGTGTGTGTGTACATGCATATGTGAATACAGGGGCAGGTACACCTATGTGCATGTGTCCAGAAGCAGCACACATACTACCGTGACCGGTTTCTACGTGGTTCCAGGGGTTTAAACTCAGGTCCTCATACTCACACAACAAGCAGTTTGTTGACCAAGACAACTCCCCAGCCCTTTTTGTTTTGTTTTGTTTTTTAGAGACAGGGTCTCTCTATGCAGAGAAGGCTGGCCTTGAACTCTGGATCCTCCATCTCTACCTCCTGAGGACTGGGATGATGAGCATGCACCACCAAGCTTGGCACAAAAACTTCTGTTCTTGTTCAGGAAAGAGAAATCTTTATTTTGTCTACAAAATTTCCAACAATATACTAGAATCTTTTTCTTGGAAAGATCCAAATTTCAATGTTAACCCAGCTCTTCCAGTGTTGTTAGTGATCAGATGAAAGTGCACAGGAGAGCAGATTGTGTGCTCAATGTGACCTGATGCCAGAGCCAGCATTTACAGTCATTCTGAGGATGAGAGGGCAGAGGACTCTTTGAATGAAGGAGTCACTCTGGAGCAAAGTAGTTACAGGATTTTCTACCAGAGGTGATACCATAACTTGCCTTCATGAAAAAAATAATAGAACAGAGGCCAAGGAGATGGCTCAGTAGATAAAAGCACTTGTGGTACAAGTCTGACAACCTGAATCTGATCCCTGGAACCCAGGTAAAAAGCCGCTTGTAGTGGCACATGTTTGTGATCCCAGCATTCCAGTAAACATGTGTGGCAGAAACAGAATCAATTGGAAGCACTCCAGCCAGCTAGCCTAGAGTATGCAATGCTTGGGGGCAGGGGTGGGGGAACCAACCCTACCTCAACAAATGTGAAAGGAAAGTTCCAGAATTTTCCTCTGACTTCCTCACAGGTGCCATGGCACACATGCACCTGTACCCACACGGTAATAAAAATAATAAGAAAAATTTAAAACTAGAGTAGATTATAGTGTAGTTATTTAGCCAAATTCACTTGTTTCTACCTTTTATTTATTTCTGAGTTCATGTAGCACACATTAAAGCAGGTGGCACGTCAGCTTATAAATTAGGTTCGTTTTGGGGGAAGTGCCCAAAGTCTCTCCTTGCATTGTGTACCCGCCCACAGATAGACTTAGGATCTGTGCGCAGTCAGTGCTTCTCCAGTTCCTGTGCTTCTGTTAACATCGGCAGATTTATGTCAATAAAGCTACCCTTGTCCATTGTGATGAACTCTCAGATTTGCCCCCTATAGCTGAGATATGTGTGTGTGTGTGTGTGTGTGTGTGTGTGTGTAGGTCAGAGGTCAGCCTCAGGTGTTGTTGCTCAGGTGCCATCCACCTCATGTTGTCTGAGACAGGGTCTCTAATTGGGACCTGGACCAAGTGGGCTAGGCTAGCTGGTCAGCAAGCTCCAGGGCTAACCCTGTCTCCCCACTCCTGAGGGTTGCAAGAGTGTGCCACCACGCCCAGATTTTTTTGAGTCTTGGGAACAAATTCAGGTCCTCATGCTTGTATGGCAAAGTGCTTTTCTGACTGAGCTTTCTACAGCCATGGTGTTTAAGGATGATCTTGAGTCCCAAAACAGGGAAGCAGGCAGAGAGGTGCAAGAAATAGTCACCTCTGTTTAGATTCTGGTTACTGCTATTTTTCAGAATAAATTGGGACCTTGAGGTTAGAAGATCTGAGCAGGAGCCCGGGGCACTGCAGCAAGATGCCCAGGACAGTGAGATGTGGGGGTACCTAGCACTAGGTGCACCTAGCGTAGCATCTGATCCACTGTGCTCTGAACTGCACATTTCAACTCTCACTGTGGCTATTTCACCTCAGACTATACCTGCATCTCTGTTAATTTGAGTCACAAAGAGAAGTATGTTTCCTGCTTCAGATTTTAAAGACTTGTGAGGGTTCTTGGCGCTTCTGATCATGCAGATGAGTAGGCAATGACCTGGGCCTGTCAAACAATTTCCCTTTCAAATCCCCCATACCCTTGCTCTCTTGTTTCCCAGGCTTTGCTGATCTCTGTTCATCCTCCTGCTGTCCTCATCCTGGCATCTTAGATACATTGTTAAGGGACTTCACTTCTACCCAGCCCCGAAGTCCAGGAACAGTCTTTGGGAGCCAAGGCGCTTTGCCTATGCACAGCCCCAGCCTCCACACGGTGGCAGTGGAAGCCTGCACTCCAGCTGCTGCCTTCCCCGAGACTGGCTTTCAATTCTGCAGTCTTTTGAAAGGCGGTCTGACTGTCGCCTTCAAGTGAGCTTCCTGTTAGAGTCCTCAGGACCAGTCTGATATCCTTAAGTGTCCTCCAGAGAGGGTGGTAATGTGTTGTACTGACTTCATTCCTAGGCCGTCCTCCCTGCATTCTGTCCACATGCCCCCAGTAGACCCAGAACATCATGAATGACAGGCAGGAAAAAAGGGACCCTAATCCCTAGGCCAACAGGGAAATCTAGGGAGGCTGGATTTCAGACCACGTTTTTGCTGTTAAGGGGCAGGTGAGAAGCAGTGTGTCGTTTGATTCCTTTGTGACCTGAAGCAACTTCCATGGGGCAAGCGACTCAGAGACTTTAGCGCTTTGTGGCCACTGCCAACCAAGACCCAGCTCTGTCTATGTAAAACATGCTGTCCCAGCCAAGCAGAGACTCAACTATAGTCCTTTGAGACAGGGTCTCACCGTGTAGCCCACACTGGCCTCAAACTCAGTTCTCCATTTGTCTCAGCCTCTGGAGTGCTAGAATTCAAGGTGTGACCCACCAGGCCAGCATAGCCTCAAATTTCATTCTCTGCCAAGGCCAGCTGTTCTCAAACTCTTTACCATCAGTCACTATCTCTGTTACTGCTTTGAGCACACACTCCTCTGATTTTGCCCTGAACCTGACTAGTTTACCAGAGACCAACCAGATCACAGACTGATGGACACCAGATGTGCAGGCTGTGTAGTACCGTTGAGAGGATCAGTCTGCAGTGGGATACTTTCATCCCCTCTGCTGTTCAGAGGACATAGGAATGTCCTTGCAGGATATAGTCTTTGTCCCACAGCTCTTTAATGCAGCTGCAGACAACATCGCATAAATGAGAAGGAAAACAGGTCCCAGCAGAGTGGGGAAGAGTTACAGAGCTCACACAGGAAAGGACTGACTTCAGAGGTATTCAGAGTAGCAGGAACAAACCCCTATCCACCTGTCTAGCTGGTGATGCTGAAGGACATGGTGACCTCCCAGGTGCCTCGATGGGCAGCTGGTACTTGTGGATCATAACTGCCATCAGGACCCCACAGAACTGTATGTATAGGAGGGAGGAAGTCTTCTCTATTAGAGCAATGCTTTATGGTTTTGCTAATCACAGACTCATCCCTCCTGGCTGCACAGGGAGCAAGTGCAGGTGACAGTGTGTACTTGTGCTAAGGACCAGCCGCTTGGGATGCTCAGAGCATAAGGTGCCTTCAGTTCCTCTTGAATTGTCTAGGATGTCAAAAGCTGGTGAACAAAGTTCCTTACAGGGAATTCAGTCTGTCTTTTGAGTCTGTGTTAGATGCTGGTCTGAGTAGGGGATCCACCTTTTTCCTCACTCCTGCAAAAGACAACCGAAACAAGGCATTATCTGTAGAAAAGCACACAGCCATCTTGTTACCTAATAAAGGTCAGCAACATGAGGTAGACCAGAAAGAAGCCTCTCACCGAGTGCCTGATATATGGGCAGCTCCATTCAGGGCATCACATTCAGTGTGTCCCAGTTCTCATTTTCCCTAGGAAGGAAACACCTCTACCTCACAGGTACAGATCTGAAATGGGTAATAATGAGCTTGAAGTCACAGTAGCCAGCAGTACAGCAATAGGTTAAACTTAGCTCTGTTTATTCTAGAACTCATCCAAATGTTTGGAAAAGAAAACCAAACTAGGACATTTAAATTATTTACTCACAAAAGCTATTTATTATTTAAATTTTAAAAATTTATTTATTTATTTTATGTGTAAGGGGGCATGTGATGGTTAGAGGACCACTTTCGGGAGTCAGTTCTCTCCTTATAAACTCAGGTCATCAGGCTTGGTGGCAAGTACCTTTATTCACTGAACCATCTCACCAGACAGTGTTAATTTTTGAGACAGTCTCATGTACCCCAGGCTAGGCTCAAGCTCACTATGTAACTGAGGATGGCCTGACACTTCTATTCCTACTATTTCTACCTCCCTGATGCTGGGATTACAGGGTGTGCCGCCATGGTCTGTTTATGAGGCATTGAGGACTAAGTGTTATACATGCTAGGCAAGCTGTCTGCCAACTGAGGCACATCTCCAGCCTTAATGTGTGTCTTACTGTTTTGAAACTAGAAACCTGCTAAGTAACACAGGTGAATGAAGCTGATGAGCAGGCCTTCCTTTTGTGTCCTGCTTCTTGGCAGGAAGCATCAGCCAGCATGCCTCTAGCAGAGCTGTTTCTGAAGCCTTATGTAATAGTCATCCCTTAGGTTGTCTCTGTTGGCAGGATAGACTCTGTATACCTTCAGTTCCCCACCTAGGTGTGCGTCTCTTCATGACTCCTGACCCTGCGTAGTCATGACCTACCTCACCTGCAATATTTCTTGGCTTCTGTGAAGTCCTGGCAAGTTTTTGATCTTTCTGACCCTATCCTAATAAGTCACCTCCATTTATATCCTATTTCACCACAAGTGACAGAGCTGTGTTTCTCAGTGGTTTCCATGCAAACTATCAAAGTACAAGTGGATGCTGTTTTGCTAAAGCAAATGAGTCTCTTTTTCCTGTTAGGGGCAGATGGGCTTCAGCTGACTGACAAGAAGGAAAGGATGGCCATATTCGTGAACTGCTCTCATTATTGTGATAAAATATCCCTTTCCTATGCTGGGATATTCCCCAGTGTCCTTGGATTTCTGTGTAGTAAGTAAATGCATCCTAGTACAAGCCAGTCACCAAAGATTTGTCTCCCACATTCTCAGAGAGATTCTGCTCAGCTCCTCAAGCACCACAACTTCAGACAGTCCAGATCCATCCTCTGGAGATGCAGCAGTCAGTGCTCTCCAACAACAGCTGTTACTCATGGTAGCTCGGAGAACACAGTCAGAAACCCCACAGGTATGTGCACCCAGTGTTGCTATAGTGGCTGCTCTGGAAGCAGTGGGTCTTTAAAAACATGTGTGGCATGTTTGCATGTGTGCATGCGTGTGTGTGTGTGTGTGTGTGCTGGTATTCATATGTGCAAGTGTATGGATTTGAGAGGACAATTCTAGAGGACAATTGAATGTCCAACTTAGGTATCATCCTCAGAGTGCTTTACACCTTCTTTGAGACACAGTCTCTCATTGATCTGGAACATTCCAAGTAGACTAGACTGGCTGACCATTGGACCCCAGAGACCCACTTGTTTCTATCTCCCCAGTGCTGGGACACTAAATGCATACCACCATGTCCAACGTTTTTTTTTTTTTACATAGCTTGTGGGGATCACACTTGGGTCCTTGTGCTTATAAGGAAAGCACTTTACTGACTGAGCCATCTCCCCAAACGCACATGCAGTACATAAGACCTGTGTCCTTTTGTAAATCATGTCCTCCCTGACTGTGCCTTGATTTGTTATTCAGGCTTGTCTGCTGAATGATCAGTAAAAGAGAACATGTAGCTAGCAGGTATCCCTCTACTGACGTTACCTGGGTTCTGCTGGCTCTCACTTGCTGTTCCAAATGTATTAGAAATGTGTTCATATTGATATTTAGTTGCTAAGATACATGAATCCCTTGAGAGCCTACTGGGCTCGTTTGCTTTATAGTTTTTGGAACTATATACTTTAAAAAATATGATAACCTTGCTTATACTAAGCATGCAAAGATTCCAGAATATTTGACTTGGAGGAGTGGCTTTGTTTTTGGTGTGGGTAACATCGAGGGTGTAAATGAGAAGCCTTCTGCTTTTTGCTGAGAAATTCCTTGTTCATTCACTCATCCAGGCAAGTTTTAATGAGACTCTGAGGAGGCAGAGCAAGGATTCCAAGCCAGGAGTACCATAGATGGACAGACATAGACCCAGACTTCTCTATAAGCTGAGACTGGAGCCAGGGTCTCAGTGAGGAGGGATGAAGGGGAGGCTCCTCAGGAGAAGGGATGCTTGGATTTAGACCTCTGAGAAGGGCGCCCCTCTTCTGGCAGAGATTGAGCAAGAAGAACTGCAGTCAGACTAAAGTCCCATCCACGGGAAGTTTCTCAGTTTCCATGTTTGCCTTCCTCCTGAAAAGCTGCTTCCGTTTCTTCTAAAATGCCTTCCCTTTGCAAAATTAATATTGTTTTATGGCTGGTTTTGGATGTCTTCATGTTTCCCAAATAATGCTAATAATGTAGTTTGTTAAAATTTGTGCATGATTGGCTGATGAAATGGACAGTTCTCAGAAGAACAAACACAAATGGCCAATAAAGTATTTTTAAAACGCTCAAAATCCCTAGTCATCAGGGATATGCATGTTGAAGCTATGTTGAGAGATCGCCTCACAATGGATGGTTTCAGGAATCATTATGTTTAGTAAAGTAACCCAGACTCACACAAATACCATGTTGTCTCTCTTGTGTGAATCCTTGCTTTTAATGTTAATGCATGAAGGTATGGGGGGTGTGTGGATACAGGTCATGAAAGTAGAAAGGAGACTATGACAAGGGAAAAAAATAGGTGATGAGGAAGGACCGAGATGGGAAGGACACATGGGGCACAAAAGAGGAAAAGAGACTGCAGGGAGTTACACGGGGACCAAGAGAGGGAGGAGATGAGGGAGGAGGAGAATCAATAAACACTATGCTTGAAGGTGCTGTACAGATACTTCATACCTGTATGCTAATTTAAAAAACAAATTAATTGGTTAAAAAGAAATTTGTGCATTATTGCTCAGATGTGCAAAATAAACAGTAAGTAACTAAACAACCAGTGAGAACACTTTCTGCCTACTGAAAATACGTGGGTCTGGAGCCCTAGTGCTGTGGGCTGCATGCAGGTAACTGAGCCCCTTCTGGCTGGAGAGACTTTAAGAGATGGGCTATCCAGTGTATCCTTGGACCCTGACTTCAGGAGATATTCCCTTCTTCCCTTTCATGCACTGAGGGTCCTCCTTGTCCTCCTCTCCAGGGTGTCTGGGTACCCCTATACACATGGGTAGAGGTAGATGTGGAGGGCCAAGCATTTTCCCAGAGGCCTGCCACCAGCCAGTATAGAAACTAGGTGTGGCTCTGGGTGAGGCTGGCTCTGCCCCACCCACAAACAGAGACCTCTCCATTTGCCCCCTTTTCTGAGCTGTGCATCACACAATGTTTTTACCTTCCACCGTGTCTTTGAGGTCACCTGTCTTTCCTGCACCTCTGAGGGCCTCAGACTTCACCTGTGGGTTTCTGCCATACATGGGTCCTAGGTCAGTCTGTGAGCTCTCTTGGCTCCACCTCAGGACCAGTGTCCAGTTCTCACCTCTGCCATGGTGCACATGGCCCCTGCAGAAATCCACTGACTTGGAGAAACTTAGTTTCTCCCAATGCAGGCCTGGGCAGGGCCGGCTGTTCCACACTCCTACATCCAGGATGTTAGTGGTGAGTGACCAAAACGCTTTCCTAGAAATCTTGAAGTAGCTTGGAGTGATCTGACTGCTCCTGATGTCACGGTGGCAGGACTGAATGGATGAGAGGACTTTGGAATCATCAGAGGCACAACCCCTCATTTAACATTTCAGAAGCATTCTGGATCTAGCAGAAAAATGAGCGCAGACTGCAGTGACATATCAGAACACCCATAGCACCCTTTCTTTCACTCTTAAAACTCAGAGAGTGGGAGACCTTAGCAGACTGCCTGAGAGTGCCTGGATCTGGCCTCCTTGTGCCTGTCCCTCTACACTGGAACCAAGTGTGGCCCTTCCTACTGCTCCAGGGCTAGACTTCTCTGCCCTTCAGTAGGGGCCCAGACCTTAGCAGACTGCCTGAGAGTGCCAATATTGGGCCTCCCCTTACCAAGCGTCCCAAATTGTGCTGTGACAGTTCTCTAGTACGGGCCCAGACCTTAGGAGGAAGCCTGAGAGTACCTGACTGGTGCCTGACTTGGGACTCGGGAGATCCTGAGTAGCTGGGCTGAAGCCATCAGGTCCCTCCAATATAAAATAGAGAAAGGGAACCTGAAGCCTAGACTAACCAGCTTTATATCCCCTATAAGAAAACAACCAAGGCACAGTCAATAACACACATAGCAGCAGACTTCAACTCAACAAAGGAAGGCTTGAGTTTCATACATGAACCACGAACAACAAAAGAAATCCACATGCTAGAATCACAGCAGAAAAATAATAATTTAAGAAACCAAAATAATATGATCCAACCTGTGGAAAAGTTTTACAAGGAGAACCCCCTAGAGATAACCCAGGACACAGAATTTAAAAGAACAGTCATAAACATGATCAAAGAATTCAATGAATTTAAAGAACACACAAACAAATCAAAGAACTAAAAGAAGATAGGGATAAATTTCTGAATGAATTCACAAAAGAGATAGAAATATTGAAGAAAACTCAGGCTGAAATGAAGAAGGAAGTGAAACACTCAATAAACCAATTTGGAAACAACAGGAGAAAGCCTCATGGATAGAATGAATGAAATAGAAAACAACATTAAACTGGCTGATAAAGTTGAAGAATTGGATCATTTAAGCAAAGATTATGAAATTAAAAAAAACAGGAATGGAATATTCAGGAAATGTGGGACATTATGAAAGATCAAATTTATGCATCATAGGCATAGAGGAAGGATAAGAATTTCAGGTTAAAGGTATACCAGATGTTAAACAGGATTATAGGAGAAAATTTCCCAAAATTAAGGAATGACATGCCTATACAAATACAAGAAGCATATAGAACATCAAACAGACAGGACAAGAAAAGAAACTCCCCATGGCATATCATAGTAAAAACAATATTTGTACAGAACAAAGAGAGAATAATGAAAGCTGCAAAAGAAAAACAACTCACATATAACAGAAATACCATCAGAATTATATCTGACTTATTAATGCAAAGTATGAAAGTCAGAAGATCCTGGACCAAAGTATTCCCAGTTCTAAATGACCATAGATGCCAATATTACCCAGTGAAAATGTCTATTATAGTTGAAGGGGAAAGAAAAACCTTCCACAATAGGAATAGGCTGAAAGGATACATGTCCACAAAACCAGCCCTTCAGAGAATACTTGAAGCAATACAAAGAATAGAAAAAAGGAACAACTATACCCAAGGGGCAACAGAAAGAAATTAAATGAAGATATAATTGTGGAAACACAAAATTAGACCAAGAATGCAAACAGTAATCAAAATGATGGCAATCAGTACACATCTTTCAATAATAACTTTAAGTAACAATGGACTGAACTCCCCAGTCAAAAGACACAGGCTAGTTGAATGGATTAAGAAGCAAAATACATCTTTTTGTTGTCTTCAAGAAACCCATCTCACCATCAAGGACAGGCACTACCTCAAGGTGAAAGAATGGAAAAGAATATTCTAAGCAAATGCCACTAAGAAACAAGCAGGGGTTGCAAATCTATTATCTGGCAAAACAGACTTCAAACTAAAACCTATCAGATGAGATAAAGAGGGTCATTTCATTCTGATCAAAGTAACAATTGACCAAGAAGATATTATAATCATAAACATATGCATCCAATTTCAAAGAAGAGTGTTACAGGCCTTTAAGAAACAGATTCACTCGAACTCAGTAATAGTAGGGGACTTCAGTACCCCACTGTTTCCATTAGACAGATCAACCAGACAAAGAATAAACAGACATCTGAATTAAATGATACCATACATCAAATAGACCTAACAGACATCTATCAAATATTCCACCCAAACACCAAAGAATGCGCTTTCTATTCAGCAACCTATAGAACTTTCTCTAAAAATTGGATATACTGGGGCATAAAACAAACCCTAACAAATACAAAAAAGCTGAAATAATTCCATATATTCTATCAGACCATAAATGGGGAGGGTATGGAGGGAGGGTCAGACAGGGAGAGAGAGAAATAGAGGAGAGAAATAAACAATGCCTAGCTAGTTTAAAGAATCAGAG